TGGGAGGCGGGAGCTTGGCAGGATCCTCCAGAGAGTAAGAGTCCTGACTCCTCTGCAGTGCTTCTCGCGCGTGGAGTTCATCAGCACCCCTGGAGGACTTGCTAAAACACTGATCGCTGGGCCCCCCTCCACTGCGTCTGCATTCAGCAGTTCTGAGCTGGGGCCCGATCCTGTGCATGTCCACCTACCTCCCAGGTGGTGGTGCTGTTGCTAGCGTCCCAGGAGCCATAACTAAAGCCACATTCTAACCCCGGAGCATGTGTGTTTGCACGTATGCAAATATGTAAATTAAGACATAAAAAGAGTCAACGCCAGTCCTCACGCTTCAACCTGGGGATCCTGTTAAAATGCTGGTTCTGACTCTGTTGGTCTGGGGTGGAGCCCAAGACTCTGCATTTCTAACTTTGATCTGAGCTATGCTGGTGTGGCTGGCCCCTGCCCTCACTGAGTAGCAGCCAGAGGACAGAAGGAGCCACACCAGGGTAGCAGTCCTTGCCTCTAGGGAGGGAAGGAGTGTGGGGGAGCTGTTGAAAGGATTTCTTACCCTGTAAATTTTCGCATTGTTTGGATTTTCTTCAAGATGACTCTATTACGTGTAATTTCTTTCCAGAATAACCTTCAAGGCTCACAAACACAAAGATAACCTATTAGAAAGCAGGCAAATTAAAACCATCCAGAATTAAGACAGATAAGTGACTGAGTGTTCTCTTCTCTCCACTACGGCATCCACTCATTTCTTTTTTAAGAAGTGCCACAAAAGAGCACTTGTAGTCCTCCCCATTAAAAAATAAAAATGAAAAGGACCACACTGCCCCTCACAGGTAGGCCAGTGTCTAGGGAGCATGTCCACACAGACCTTCCTGTCCCAGAGTGAAGCAGCACTCCCCTGTGATGCCATCTTAGGAAAACGCCCGTTGTCATCCACACCCACCATTGCCCCCACCCCACTCTCTGCCCCAGGTGAATGGACTTTAGAAAAAAGCAGTTTACATAATGTGCTGTAGGCACCGCTTATGCCAAAAGAGAAATTGCACAAGATATCTAAAGGTATATATTCCTGTGTGGAGACCTGCTTGCTGTTTTGTTTTGAAATTACACAGGAATCTCAA